CTCTCTCTCTCTCTCTCTGTCCCTCTCTGGTCAAATTAAAATGAATAAATAACTAAAGTCAAATAAAATAATTCTTTTAAAAAATTTCCCTTCTGTACAGTTGCCATCATCTCTGTATATGAAATGGCATACACACACACAATGGTATTTTCTATCACATTGATCTATTCATTTGCTCTATTTGCTATAGTGTTATTAGAGTAACCCTGTGCTGGGGCCTGCAGGTGGCATGGTGGTTAAAGTTGCTGGATTCCCACATGGCAGACTGTGGTTCAAATCCTGAACCTGGCGGTTTGCTTTCTCTCTCTCTCTCTCTTTCTGTCCCTCTCTGGTCAAATTGAAATGAACAAATGAATAAATAATAAATAAAATTAAATAATTCTTTAAAAAATCACATTCTAAAAAATATCTACATATATCTATATATCTATATCTATATAGATAGATAGATAGATAGATAGATCACAGTTTCTTTTTTTAAAGAAAGGGTAACCCTATGCATTTTTTTCTTTTTTAGAGATTTTTGCTATAGAGCCTATGTACTCGCCAGAGAGAAAGAGATAGACAAAAAGACAGAAACTGGGAAATCACCCCCCCAGGGAGAATGGTCATGTTGTAATTCCTTCTCCATTCTCCTCTCGAAATTTTGAGCATGCACACACACGTGCCCAGAGTGAATTTTAAGTCACTGGGTCCAGGACCCAACCACAGTCAACTACATGGGAGTCCAGCAACATAACCACTATGCCCCCTGCTGGTTCCAACTCTATGCAGATTTTAATGTTAGGGTAAGCAGATTTTCTTCTGCATTTCCTTGCGTATTCTGATAGGTGTATTTTTCCAGATTAACTTTTTTCTTATATAGAAGTTTTCAACTTAGGGCGTATGTACTCGCTGGAGAAAGAGAGAGTGAGAGACAGTGAGAGGGAAAGTGAGAAATCACCCCCTGGGGATATGGGCCATGCAGCAATCCTTTTTTCTCCATTCTTCTCCTTGGGATCTTGGGTATACACATGCGTTCTGCGTGAGTTTCAAGCCACTGGGGTCCAGGACTCGAACTGTGGTCAGCCATGTGGGAATCCAGTGACATAACATTGTTTTCCCCTTGCCTCTTCTCCCTAGAACATAATGCTTCTGGGATTCTGATTGAAACAACCATTGTATTGGACCCTGACGGTGGCATATAGGTAAAATGCATCTGTGGGGACCAGCAGCTGGCATAATGGCTATGTCGCTGGACTCCCATGTAGTCGACCGCGGTTCGAGCTCCGGACCCAGTGGCTTAAACTCATACTGACTGGGTGCATGTACATGCGTGCCCAAGATCCCAAGAGGAGAATAAAGGAGAAGGGGTTGCGGAGTGGCCATCCCCCCTGGGGGGTGATTTTTTTGCTGTCTGTCTCTCTGTCTCTGTCTGTCTTCTGGCAAGTGCACTCGCCATATACACACAAAAAAAAAAAAAGAAAAAAAGAAAGAAAAAAAGAAAAAAAAAAAAGAAAAAGAAAAGAAAGCATCTGTGAGGCTGATCCACATGGTTCTGGTTCCTAGACGGAGACCCTGAAGTGCCTTTGAGCCAGGGCTGACAGAGACTGGGGTTGGATTTCAGTGGGATGATTTTTGTCTAGACTGTCAGTCTGTCTCTCTCTGTCTCGCTGAAGGAGAAAGAAGGAAACTTAAAACAAATATTACACTGTGTTTACTTTTGCCTTTTTAAGAAATTGAGAAATGCCTGCTGGTTCAGGCAGCCAGATTGCACGTGGCCGACCGCAGTTCAGATCCTGGCCCAGTGGCTTGAGAAACACAACAGATGTGTGTGTGTGCATGCCCCAAATCTGAACAGCATGGAGAAATGGAAAAGGGATTGTGACCATGCCCTATTTAGAAGGTGTTTTCTCCTGCTTCCTTTTTCTCTTTCTCTGTCTGGTGAGTACATGTGCCCTCTGACCAAATAATAATAATAATAATAATAATAAAATTGTTTTCTTGAGAAATAAATAATTCATATACCATAAAATGTACTCTTCTCGGTGCCCGGCAGGTGGTATGGTGGTTAAGAGTACTGGACTCCCACATGGCCAACTATGGTTCAAGTCCCAGACCTGGCGGCTTGCTTGCTTTCCCACTTTCTCTCTCTTTCTCTCACTCTGTTCCTCTCTGGTCAAATTTAAATATAAACAAGTAAATAAAGTTGAATGAAATAATTATTTTTAAAAAAATACTCTTCTCTCTTTTTTTTTGGAGAGATTTTTGCTATGGGGTGCACTCACCAGAGAGACGGAGAGTGAGAAATTACTCCCCATGGAGGGCAACCTCTGCAATCCCTTCTCCATTCTCCTCCCAGAATTCTGGACATGCACACATGGGCCCAACATGAGTTTCAAGTCGCCGGGTCCGGGACCCAAGCAGCAGTCTACTAAGTGGGAGTCCAGCAATGTAACCATTACACCATTTGCTGGTCCCAAAGTGTACTTTTAAAAAAAAAAAAAATTGTTTATTTAATTTTTTAATT